ATTTTTAAGATAGCTAAATATGGATTTTTGCTAAAATTAAATTTAAAAATATGGTAGAATTTGGCTTGATTTAAAATTTAGAGACATCAAAAGTTTTGTGTTCTATGCTGTAATGTACATGTACATTTAACTGCATGTTTTGTGTATGTTTTAAAATACATCTCATTTTCAGGTAATTTCAGATTGATAATGATCATTACTGGCAGTATTGTGGGCGGTTTGCTTCTGCTAGTATTCATGATAACGCTAACTGTGATATTATTAACACTATTGAAGTAGGTTAACGCATAATGATGATCCCATTCTCATGTTTCCATTCCCATTCCACCAGTCAGAGTATCGGACCACGTTTTGCTGTAAAAGGTGAAGAAGGTTACCTCTTAGTTCCGCTGGATTCTTCTGATTATTCCGAGACCACACCCACTTCTAATCGCCCATCGATAATTGGTAAACCACCGACTGAAGTCCATGCCATCGAAGGACAAGAAGTCGTGTTGAAGGTTCGTTTCCACGGTGACCCGACGCCCAAATTGTCATGGAAACAAGACGGGGAGGAGATTGATTGGGAGAATTGCTCTTTTATGCTAAAAAATGGAGCAATTGTGTTCCCTTATGTAGAGGTGGCTCATTCTGGTGAATATGAAGTGACTGGTAGCAATGACAACGGATCAGAATCAGTGTCCATTGTACTCACTGTATATCCAGAGACTGATTTAATGGCTCCACTTAAAGAAGGAGTTATTTCTTCTGTTAGGATACCACTGGAGGAGTTCGGGCAGTATGTGAATAATCTCCGTAATAATAACAATAAGTTGTTCAGAGAGCAATTCAAGGTATTATATCAATGTTATACCCGTATGACTAACCAGTCAATTTTTAAAAAATGCCTATGGTTTTTTCCAAAAAATGGGTCCGAAATAACCCCAAATTTTTGTTACATTTTCTGATACATATTGATGTCCTTATGCTGTTTAGCAAGTTTGAGCTGATTCCGACTTCAATTTTTAAAGCTACGGCCATTTTAAGAAAACGTCAAAATTCTGAAAAGTACCCAAGGCTATAGCCCATGGTTTTTTCCAAAAAATGGCTCCGAAATCACCCCCAATTTTTATTACATTTTCTGATACATATTAATGTCCTTATGCTGTGTAGCAAGTTTGAACTGATTCCGACTTTAATTTTTCAAGTTACGGCCATTTTAAGAAAACGTCAAAATTCTGAAAAATACCCAAGGCTATAGCCCATGGTTTTTTCCAAAAATGGCTCCGAAATCACCCCCAATTTTTATTACATTTTCTGATACATATTAATGTCCTTATGCTGTGTAGCAAGTTTGAACTGATTCCGACTTTAATTTTTCAAGTTACGGCCATTTTAAGAAAACGTCAAAATTCTGAAAAATACCCAAGGCTATAGCCCATGGTTTTTTCCAAAAATAGCTCCAAAATCACCCCCAATTTTTATTACATTTTCTGATACATATTAATGTCCTTATGCTGTGTAGCAAGTTTGAACTGATTCCGACTTTAATTTTTCGAGTTATGGCCATTTTAAGAAAACGTCAAAATTCTG